ATTATGTTGAGGTATGTTCTTTCTAAACCTAATTTGTTAAGAGTGTTTATCAAAAACAGATGTTGAAATTTTGAAATGCTTTTTTGTGTCTATTGAGACGAGCATGCGATTATCTTCCTTCATTCTGTTAATGTGGTGTGTTGCATTCATTTTCATATGATGACTCATCCTTGCCAATCCAGCAATAAATTTCACTTGGTGTATAATCTTTTCCATGTGCTATGCAATTCAGTTTGCTATTATTTGGTTGAAGATTCTTGCACCACTATCCATCAGGGATATTGTTCTTTAATTTTATTGTAGTGTCTTTGGCTTTGGTACCAGGTTAATAATGCTGGCTTCATAAAATGTATTTGGAATTGTTTTGTCCTCTTCTATTTTTTTTGGAAGAATTTAATGACAACTGGTGTTAATTCCTCTTTAGATGTTTGACAGAATTCACCAGGAAAGCCATCTACTGGGCTTTCTTTGTTGGGAGGTTTTTAATTCTATTTCAATCTCCTTACTAGTTAGAGTTCTGTTCACATTTCCTGTATTTTCATCATTCAGTTTTGGTAGCTTGTGAGTTTAATTTATCCATTTTGTCTAGATTATACAATTTGTTGGTGTTCATAGTATTCTTTTATAATCCTTTATATTTCTGGGGTATCATTTCTAATGTCTCCTCTTTTATTTCTGATAATAGTTATTTGAGTCTTATTTTATTTTCTTAGTCTAGGTAAAGGTTTATCAATTTCACTGATTTTCCTATACTGTTTTTCTGCCATGTTATTCATCAACTCTGCATTAATTTTTATTATTCCCTACCTTCAACAGATTTTGAGTTTAGTTCTTTTTGTAGTTACTTAAGTTGTAAAGTTGTTGATTTGCTATCTTCTTTTTAATGTAAGTATTAACAGCTATAAATTTCTCCCTGTAGACCTTTACTGTAACCTGTAAGTTTGTCTGTTGTGGTTTTATTATAATTTGTCTCAGTACATTTTCTAAATTTCCTTGTGATTTCTTCTTTGACCCACTTGTTGTTCATATTGTTTTATTGTTTAATTCCCACATATTTGTTTTCCTTCTGCTATTGATTTCTATTTGGTTATATTGTAAGCGGGAAAGAGACTTTGTATTATTTCAGTCTTTTGGAATTTTTAAAGATTTGTTTAGTGGCCTAATATGATCTATTCTGGACAATGCTGTGTACTTGAGAAGTACTTGAGAAAAATGTTGGGGGGAATGTTCTAAATGTGTCTATTAGGTCTAGATAGTTTATAGTGTTTAATTACTATTCCCTTAATCTTCAGATTGTTCTGTCCCCTATTGAAAGTTGGGTATTGAATGAAGTCTCCTACTGTTATTATAGGGCTATTTCTCCTACCAATTCTGTTGATGTTTGCTTTATATATATTTATAATAGTTATAGCTTCTTAGTGAATTAACACTTATCATTATGTAATGTCCTTCTTTGTCTGTTTTTGACTTTGTTTTGTCTGATATTAGAGCCACACCTGTCCTTTTGTTTACTGTTTCCATTGGTTACTATTTGCATGGGATATCTTTTTCCATTCTTTCATTTTCAGTCTATGTATGCACTTAGATTGAAAGTTAATCTCTGTAAACAGCATACAGTTGTTTATAACAGCATTTATAATTCAAGTTATTACTAATAGGGAAGAACTTCCTCTGGCCATTTTAATGTTTTCTGTATGTCTTAAAGGGTTTTTGTCTCTTTTAAATGTCTTACTTTCCTGAGTCTCAGCTCAGCTTCACCTCAGGGCGTTAGATGCTATTTTTTATTCTCTGCCCATAATCTTTTGCCCCTTGGCACCTGTGGTTCTGTAGATCCCCTGCAGCCCTCATGTCCAGCAGTATCCAATTTGATATTCAAACTATGCCACCATTCTATCAAGTGAGGCATAAAACAGTCCCTCAGGCAACCCTGTACAAGTCAGAACATCACAACCAAGTTGTGCTATTTTCTTTCCATCCCAAGGGAGGAGCTGGGAGTTGAGAAACTTTCCATTATGCCCAAGAGGGTGAGGTGAAAGAGTGAGCATAAATGCAGTGACATTTTCTACTATTTTGAATGTGGTTCTTGCTTGGTTGCTGCTGCTGCTTAGTTGGCTTCTAGAGTTCTCACAATGCTGCACTGATCTGCATATTGTATATTCAGTACTTCCATGGTGTTCCTTGGAGGAATAAGCGGGGCAGGGGGCTCTACCTGCAGACAACCCCCACCTACCACTGGCCGCCACAGATGAGAATAAGTCTACCAAGACATGATCTGCTTGGAGAGGAAAGGTGGTTGATCTCTCAAAGGAGAAGGGCCAAGAGCCTTTCCCTCAATGGGCTTTTATCAGATTCAGTTTGCACAGGCATACGGGTAAAGCTTATCAATCATTGCCAAGCAGTAAGGATCAAACAATAGATAACATACAAAGAACTATGAGGGCTTAGTCAGAGTCAGTTAGCTAAGGGGCCATAAAACTTTGGGAAACAAACTCATTTCCTGCTTGGACCCTTATCAGAAAATTGAGAGCATTCTTACCAAAGCAGGTTTGACAGGATTTTATTCATTTTCTCAGTCCTGATCTCGCCAGGGAACCTGCCCTTTCCAGCCCAGGGCAGCACTGCCCTCTGTCACTGTTTCAGGCTTAAGTCAACAAGTGGAAGTAAGGCAGCCAAGAGATTAGGAGACGTCTTTGCAGACAGAATGAGGACTCAGGCTATGTCAAAGTCGAGGGGTGAGGGTTCATCACCTCCTTTTTTGGTAGCCCCCCCCCCCCAAGTCCTTCCCTGGGGCCTTCTTCATGACCATGCCTGTCTTAGGTCATCCCTCCCTTGAGGAATCTTACCCATCATTGGCTAACTGGTCATGCATTGGGGGCCAGGCAGGGTGATGTAAAGGGGGCAGTGGTGGCACCCCTGCCAAGGAGATAAGCTTTGTCTCCTTAGTGGCTTAGGGTCTCTCACTCAGCCTTAGCCATGGGGGGTTACAGCTTCTGAAACCAGGCAGGGTGGTTCGCAACAAATAAGGGCCTGGAGCTTTATATTCTGCCATTTTGCTGACATCATTCCCAATTATCTTCTAAAAAAATTTTTTTAGGACTAATATTTACCGAGTTACTATTTCTGGTAGTCTTATTTTCTTTGTGTGTGGATTCAGATAGATATCCTTCTAGTATCATTTTCCTTTTGCATGAAAGACTTTTTTCCAAGTATAGCAAATCCTCAAGTAATATTTCATTCAATGTTGTTTTGTTATAATGTTGATGACATGCCATAGGAACTTATTTATATCGATTGGCCTACAATGAAATTGGTTTCGTTATACATTATTTTGCTTAACATCAGAGAAACTATCAATGATTGTAAGTAAGGACTTATATATATATATATATATATATAAGATCTCCCTATACTTAATAACTTCTGATCTGTCTCTTAAATTTCACTGATGCTTTTCCTGCATTGTCCAAATTGCTTCAGAGTTCATCCAGTTAATTATTACCAAGATTACAAACTCAGTCACCCTTGTCATGGGCAGTCATTGAATTCTCTATCTCAGCTCTTTACACCACAGCTGTTGCTTTTCATGGACTCCTAGTACTCTCATCCTGTACATCCCCATTCAGGGGTCCGCCAAGGATTTGAGGGAAATAGAAATGTAGATATTGAGGACTCCCTGCTCTCCAGGATTTCCCACCTGGAAATGTCTAGCACCCTGGCAGCCCTGCTGTCTCACTCCTCAGCCCAATGAGACTGTTACTTTTGACTTGCGGTGTAACCCCCTGTGAACCTATGAACCAGAAAGTGCTCTCAACCAGGATGCTTCCGTTTTTGGAAGGATCACATTGCCTCTACTTTCTGCTTACTTACCTACATCTCGCCTGTTTTTAAAATTGTGTCCAGAGTTTATTTTTGCTACTGTCTGGAGAGTTGGTCCAATACAAGCTATTTGCTATTACTGGAATTAGAACTGAGTTGTTACTTTAAAAGCATTCTTTAAAATGTGAGAGACTTGAGCATTATTAAAAGTTATCAAAGTTACAATACAGTTTTTATTAATGATGTGATGATAGTTTTTTTTATTAAAAGACTGCAATAAATATATGGGATTTTTCTTTTTCAGGATATAGCAAACGAAGACCACAAAAAAATTGAAGCATTAAAATTAGAAAACAGGAAACTAGAAAAACAAAAAGGAGAATTAATGATAGGCTTCAAGAAACAATTAAAATTAATTGATGTTTTAAAAAGGCAGAAGGTGAGTATCCTTTAGGTGTTTGTTTTGACATGCTTAGGCATGAAATTTTATCTATATAAAATGCACTAAACATAAGATTTATATATAATGTTTATATATAATGCGTCATTCAGGGAAGTAGGAATGTGGTAACCAGGACTGGCAGATATAGTGTGTGCACTCTCTAACTGAAGAACACACCATATACAAGAATAAGTATCATCTTGGGGGACTGGTTTGCCTCTTGAAATCTTGAAGAGAGAAAACTGATTTTGAGTTACCTGGTAGTGGGAAGATATGAATTTGTGGTTCTGCCCTTTTCCTTTTTGAAAGGTTATTGAGCTGTCTGTCAGCAGTAGGTTGGTACAGTGCTGGGCAGAGACTTGTATAGGCTGGCCCTTGAGTGTAGTTATGTTTCAGATACGTGTACTGGAGTTAGAGTGCACACGCCTACTGCAGAGCTTGTAAATAGAATATTATACACACTTACAGACTTCTTGTTGTGTGGCCTGTTTTTAATACTAAATTAGACAATATTGATTTTTTTAAGTGCAGATGCATATTGAAGCTGCCAGGATGCTGTCTTTCACTGAAGAGGAATTTATGAAGGCACTTGAATGGGGAGATTCTTGAGTGGGTTACTGTAGTTAGTCTCTAACCAACAGTGTGTGATAGATACACATTTCATTTAAGTTGTAATGGTTTTAATTTTTACTCCTTATAAGTAATGAAACCAAAGTAATTCTAAGGAATTCCATTTGGGGGAATACAAAAGTGACATAATTATTAGAAAAGTTATATTTAAATAAAGAAATAGGAATTTAACTTTTGATTCTGCTTTCTTGTGACCTTTGTCCACTGCACTTTAATAAAAAATATGTTCTGGAGATTTAGCTCTAGGCTATAAATGAGTTAGTAAGAACTTAAAAACAGAATTTCTTTGACAGACAAATTAGGTAATAAAGCACTTTGAAATTCCTTGCCCTTTACTTTTCTCCTCCCTTATAGTAGAAAGGAAAAAATGTTTAAAAAAAGATACATCTAAAATATTTACATTAAAAATTGTTTCAAAACAGTATAGACTTAACATTGTCTTAGTTGCCTAAGTACCACAGACCCTGGTGGGTCTGGTTTATCAACAGACATTATCTTACAGTTCTGGAGACTGGAAGGCAGACATCAGCGTTGGCTTCTACTGAGTCCTGTCCCTTTGGCTTGAGCACGGCTGTCTGCTCCCCATGACATTGCATGCTCAGGAAAAGATGTTTTAAACCCAAATTAATTCTAAGTACTTATTTCCCTGGCTAAATCAGGGAAGCAAAATTCTTAAACACAAACATAGCATGGACTGAATAGAGATGCAGAAAAAGCTCTGAAAAGTAGTATAGAAATATTAATTTCCTGGGTTTGGTTTTATATATGATACATATAGAACTCAGATCTTCAAATGTCAGTATAAAAACAATTTGACCAAATAATTCTGCAGTTAAAAGTATTCAGTAAATTTAATTTTTATAAGAAAATGTTTTCTTTTAGAGAACCATTTACAAAATGATAACAAAGATGTTTTAGAAAATTCAAGTAGAAATAGATTCCTACTATCGCTAAAGCAAAAGTCACACTGACATCTAGTGGTGACATACAAAAGAACCAGGTTTTACCAAATCTTGGTATCACTTTTCTTCACTCCTTTTCTGATATGCTTTCCTAAACTCTTCACCAAGCATTTCAATATCATCCTCTTTTTTGAATACACCCTGTAAGAAAAATATTTTATGGGTTACTTTGAATGCCAGAATATTTCCCTGAATGTTTACACAACTAGCAAATATATAGGCGTGAAATTTGTAAAGTTATTTCCAAGATAAGGAACTCTAACAGATTTATGAAAAATATCATTATCTGATAAACATACTGAATATTCTTAGACTGACCTGACCTCCTGGTTCATCAGTCCCAGTGTTGGAACTTGCAGTAGTGAAGTAGAAGATTCCTGTGACAAGTACTATCGCTTGGACTGGCTGAACAAGAAGGAATTTAATCTACACGGTATGCTTCCCTTGTCTTGAAACAGCCCTACAATCTGAGTATGAGGGCTCAGGGTGAAGAGTCTGAGTGTGGCCAGATTCATGCCTGGGACTGGCTCTTGCTTCAGTTCTGTAGCTAATCAGCAAACATTCAAACTTGCAGGAAAGAATCCAGGTTTGCCATTTAAGAAAGCCCTTTGAAATTCTTTACTTGTTTTTGTTTTCCCTAACAGTAAGAGGCTCTTTAAAAACAAAATTGAACTTAAATGTTTATTACTTAAAATTAAAGAATAAGCCCTAGCTGGTGTAACTCAGTGGATTGAGCACAGGCCTGCGAACCAGAGGATCGCAGTTCGATTCCCAGTCAGGGCATATTCCTGGGATGCAGGCCAGTTCCCAGCAGGGGATGCACGAAAGGCAACCATACATTGATGTTTCTCTCCCTCTCTCCTCCCCCCCTCTAAAGATTAATTTTTTTTTAAGATTTTATTTATTTATTTAAGAATAATTTAGGTCATTTGGGGCCATCAGGACCTAAAGTATACAAAGTCATTTCAGGCTATCTCCCCATCTCTACAATTATATCCCTACAACAATATCTAAACCCAGGACTCTCCCAGAATTTGTGGTCTGTTCCATGGAGTTTATCAATTCCATATGGCTTTTGTCATTTTGTAGTCATTAATTCTGTCTAAACAATTAGACTATAAAGTCCTGGCGGTGGGCTTTCTCTCCTTCCTTACTTTGCACTGGACTAAACATAAAATACACACTTTATTCTTCCAATTGAATAAAATATCAAATAGCACAGTTTCTGTATTTGAAGGACGGAAATTTTATTTACATGAGTCCAGATGTTTGTGGCCTATGAAACTCAGTTTATTTTAGTCACAGTGTAATGTATCTTGGCTGTACTTGATAATTTGCTATCTTCTAGACATACATTTAAAAACCAAGGTTACCCACTTGATCATAATATATGATCTTTTTTGACGTATTGCTGTATTCGGTTTGCTAATTTTTTGTTGATAAAACAGCTATGGTGCATTTACTCAGTGGAATATTATTTGACTGTCAAAAAGAAGAAAAATTTTACCCTTTGCAACAGTATGGATGGACCTGGAGAGTTATACTAGGTGAAATAAGACAGAGAAAGACAAATACCATATGATCTCACTCATAGCTAGAATCTTGTAAACAAACAGTAGAGACAAACTCAGAGAGCAGGCTGACAGTTCTGGGAGTGAGTGGAGGGACTGAGCAAAAAAGAAAAGGACCTCGTGGACACAGACAAGTGTGGTGATTGCTGGGTGGGGGCGATGAATGGTAATGGAAAAAACACATTAAAACATGAACTATTGAGAAAAACTGAGGTTACCTTGAACCTAGCTAGAACTCAACCTCCTATTGCAGAGCAGATCTGTCCCAGACTCAGTCTGAGCATGTGTCTGTTACTGGTGTTACTGACAAGACTTTCTGTGCACCTGCAGCTTCAGTGTACAAAGTATTACAACAGCTTTGTGGTAGTTTAGTTTTAGAACACATACACTGAAAGGGGAGAAAAAATCTCAAAACCTTAAAGTCAATAAATCTAGCTCACAATTCTAAAAATGTGCCAAGACTGACTCATTTTGGAGACAGTGACTGGCCAGAATCCCACTGCTGTTTGATAACAGCAAGAAGCGAACAAAACCCAGGACCTCTGTAATCCTAATAACCCTGTGGTTTTTTCTCCACTGGTAGATGTCAGGAGGACAACACTGAGTTAAAGCTCACTTACTTTAGGGAGATATCCTAGTAAGTTCGTAGCATGCTCTTTGAGGAGTTTTAGTCTTTCTTCTTCAATAATTGTATTAATACATCCCTGTCTTCTTTGCTGCAGCTGCCATTCTTCCAGTTCACGTTGCTGGAAATGTAAAGAAAATATTGTCACCCAGTCCATTAATCTTAAAAATTGTCAAAACTATTCTTGCAGGGAATTAGATAAAATTGACAAACTTACTGATACTAACTTGAAAAGATTCTAGATGATGCACATGGTAAGGCAAAAGTTGGTTTACAGTTGTTTGCATGGAAAATACAGTAATAAAAATAAACTGCTTTATGTGCTCACAACTGTAAACCTACTTTTGCCCCACCCTGGGATTTTAGGAAGGCAGGTACATATATTCAGGATAATATCATTACCAAGAAAAAAAAAAGTGTTGAAAGAAGTGACTTCCTAATTAATTCAACAAATATTTACTGGATGTTTACCATATTGCAGGTGCTAACGGCAGCTCACAGTGGAAAATAAAGTGGGTACAACCAAACGGACAGCTAACGAAATACAGGGTCTGGCACAAATAACGCCTCTTTTTATTACAAACTTTTTTACAGAATCATAACCGTGTAATTCCATAACATAATGATATCACCCTCGAGCACACCATATGACATTTTAGGTGGAATGTCCAAATTGCTGTCCATCTCGTGGGAGACATTCACGTTCCCTACCAACCACACTCCAGCAGGTATTACTTCTGCTGGGCCCTGTACTTCCACATATTAAATTTTTAAAACCCAGTATGAAGTCCAAGAATAGCAGCAAGAATTCTACACAGAGAAATTTCTCAGGAACAAGTTCTGAATACTCAACCACACCAAAATTCTGTGCCATGTGAGTCAAAGAGATGACTAGCTTAAAAAAGTTTCTAGGGCTTAAAAGAACTCTTAAGGAAATGTATCCAACAAATCCTGTTGTGCAGGGAGGGATGCTACAAGGTAGACTGTTGAAATAATGAGTTCCTGCCAAGAATTACTTTAAAGTAGTCTTAATGCAAAGCTTTTCTTTGAGATTAGTTATTTACTGGGGTCACTATTTCTTCAAACCATTCCTTGTCAAATTCATGGAAACTAGAAAGAAAAATTGTATATACAATTAATATATAACATCACCTGGCACATAAAAGGTTCTCAGTTAACTGTTTAGTGGATAAAGGCACGAACTGATTGCTGTTAAATGGTAATGGCAAAAACCAAACCAAACCACTTTTCCTTACTTTGTCTGCAAGGAACTGTTTGCGGCGCTCTTCAATAAGTTTTTCCACAGCCCTCTTGTGTTCCAGTTGCTTCATTCTTTGCTTCTGAGCATTCATTAATTCTATGCGATCATCCTCGGCGAGTTTGGCTAACATAGCCTTTCTGAAGATCTCCTCTTCCTCCTTTGCAGCCTGTTGTACCAGTTCCTTCAAGGCCATTTGTTCTATAAAATTTTGCTTCAATTCTTTTTGCTTTCTCAATTTCTCTTCTGCTTCTTCCTAAAAAAAAACACAACAGTTTACATGTAGAAGGTAATTCAGTAACTGTTGCTTTAAAGCAGATTTATAAACTGAGGGTGGGATAGTTTGGTTAAGCTTAAAAGACTAAGGCAGTGTTCTCTAGTGTAAACTAGTTGAAAAAAGGACATGTGACTTTTGAATTGCCTTTTACTACTTTCTCTATTCAAAATTAACACATAACTACTCTGAAAAGGGCTGATATAAGAACTCTTTTTGCTTACCTAAGTTTATTAAATCTGTATTCTATGAAATTTGTACCAATTATAAATCATTCTAGAATCTTGCATGAAACTATTATTCAGATCATTGATAAATATTTTTCAGAACAATAATCTAGCAATGACAATCAGAAATTTTTCAGGGAAATTCAAATTTACTTTGAACAGTTAAAGTCCTTTTCTACACATTTTAATTTTCCCAGCATTTTATTATGAGAAATTTCACACATAACCAAAGGGGTAAAGAATTTCATAGTGATCACTCACATACCTAACACCTGGATTCTACTAACAATATTTTACTGTTTTTGCATTATCATCTCTCTATTCAGTTGGGGCTGATATAAATTTTAAGTCCTCTAATCTAACCAACTTTGCCCGATTCTTACACAAGCTCCAGGCAGTCCAGCATCCTCAAGGCATTCAAAATACTGTCTTAACAGCTGTATGGATAAGGCTCGTACTTCCAGATCACACCAACTCTATGGGATTTACAACAGGCCACCAGCTGGCATATGACTCCGAGCAGAGGTCCAGGGAAACAAGCTGACATCCCACTGCTGAGATCCCTGGACGACAACCCCACCAAAGCTACCCCAGTGACCTGGTCTTCCTAGAGCGGCTGCTCTCCCACCCATTTTGCTCCCTGGTATCGTCAGACCCTGACAGGAGAAGGGATAACTGCTGGAGATAACCTAGGTCACGTGAAGAATTCTAACTGAAAGAAGAGAAATGTAGTTTTAACTTTATGGTGTTTAAAAACAGATGTTTTTAAAAAGCAGTAGGATGGGTTTGAGCCACTCTGCAGTATCAGCTGTAGCCACTTTGATAGTTACATTGTGTCTCAAACCTCTCTTTCTTCACTCATCCCTCTCTAATCCCCTCCCCAACCCTCCTCCTCCATAATTTTTCCATCTAATTTTACTTCATATATATATATATATATATATATATATATATATATATATATATATGCCTTATCCCCTCACTAAAAATAAGTTACAAGAGGGAAATCTTGTTTTTCTTTGCGTGTACTATTTATCCACTTATCCACTGACGGACACTTTGAGGTCATTTCCACATCTTGGCTATTGTAAGGCTGCAACTGGACATCCAAAAGCAAAACCTGGACCTTGGCCTAAGTCTCACATAGTATACAAAATATTAACTGAAAATGGGTCACAGACTTATAAATGCACAAGTCAACAACTTTTAGGGAAATAATTATTTGGCTAGGCAAAGACTTCCTAGAATTAGTATCAAAAGTATGATCCATAAAAACAAACTGATAAATTGGACTTCAAAGAAATCAAAACATTTTTTCAGAGATAGACCCTAATGTTAGGAGGATGAAAAGATATAGACAAGGAGACAAGGAGAAAATATCTGTAAATCATATACCTCACAAGGACTAGTATCTAGAATACATGAAGAACTCAAAATTTTATAGTAAATGAACAACCAACCCAATTAGAAAATCAGCATATCATCTTGATGTGAGGTCAAGTTTGTTGATACTTTTTCAACACTACATCCCTGTGGTTTTCTGACTACCTTTTCTACATACAGTGGCACCTCGGTCCTTGTCATTAATTTGTTCCAGAACTGATGAGTGCCGAAATCAAAGAGCACTGAGCAAGCTATGAGTGATGAAGCATTTTTTTCTCATCAAAATGCTATGAGTACAAGGTTTGACAAGTTCTGAAGCCAACAAGTATTGAGGTATGACTGTATTAATGAGAAGGGGTATTGAAATCTTCCAATGTAATTATGGATTTCTCTGTCTCTCCTTTGGTTTCCGTCAGTTCTGTTTCGTGTGTTTTGAAGCTTTATTTAGGTTCATACACATTTACAATTATTATATCCTCCAGATGAATTACCTTATTATCATCTTGATCTCCAACCTGCTTTTGATTAGTGTCTGCATGGTATATCTTTCTCCATCCTTTTGTTTCTAAAGTATGTGTCTTCATATTTAAATTGTGTTTCTTGGACAACATAGTTGCATCATGCTTTTTCTTGTTGCTATTACAGTTGTCCCAGTCCCCCCAGTGCACTCCCCTGGCCCGCCCAACCCTGTACCCCGGTTCCCTCAGTCACTCCCCACCCTGTCGTCCATGTCCATGTGTCCTTTATCCACGTTCCCTGACTAGAACTTTCCCCTCCTCCCTCCCCTCCACTCACTGTCAATATGTTCATTTCCATGTCTCCTGCTTCTTAAGTAGTTTGTAAACTGCTGCCTAGGTCTGGCTTTTTAAATCCAGCCTGAAAATTTCTCTTTTAATTGTAGTGTTTATACCCTTTACAATAATTATCAATATTTTGGGGTTTAAATCTATCTTTCTACTTTCATCTCAAAATGATATTATTCTCTATGTTAATCATTCTTTCAATTTCTAAAACTTACTTTTAGTTTCCTCATATGTATTTCAGCTTGTTCTTCCTCGTGTAATTCTCGTCGCACTTGTTCCAAATCTTCACGTTGCTGCAGCATTTCTTCCAATTTTTGTGTCAACTATTAAATTTTTTTCAGGGAAAAAAAAAAAAACCACTCAGACATAATAGGACCCAAACCCTATTTAAAAAATCAGAATTTTGCCCTGGCTGGTGTAGCTCAGTGGATTGAGCATGAGCCTGTGAAGCAAAGGGTTGCCAGTTCGATTCCCAGTCAGGGCACATGCCTGGGTTGCAGGCCAAGTCCCCAGTAGGGGACACATGAGAGGCAACCACACATTGATGTTTCTCTCCCACTCTTTCTCCTTCCCTTCCCCTTTCTCTAAAAATAAATATTTAAAAAAAAATCAGAATTTCTCCAATGTTAAAGAAGTGGTTATTTTAATACCATATTCTGAAGTTGTAGCCTTTTTTCTTCATTTTCTTGAACTTTCGCCATCCAATCTTCTTCTCTTTGTTGCTGCAAGCTGGCAAACTCTATGATCTTTCTGTTTTCTTCTTCCATTTCCTCGCGTTTCTTTTTTCTCCAGAGAGCCTGCTCTCTCTGAAACTCTTCTATATACCTTCGAGTTGCATTCTTTTTTTCTAACTCTTGTTGTCTCTCTCTAAAATGCAATAGTGAGTACAGTTTTATAGTAACAGAAATTTTAAAATATAGAAGAATGTGTGTCATTTCCTTCAGTCAACAATGTTGGAAAAATGTATAGTTTGTTCATGCATTCATGCAACAAAACATTCTGAGTTTCTATTAATGCTACTAGATATGTTAGAGGGATGAGTTTTCTGAGTAAGATACCACCACCCTTCTTCTCTAACCGGTTCGCGAAGGTGTAAGCATCGCACTTCACAAAGGCTGCAGCCTGCCAACATCTGCCTCCCGGCACTCTGCACTTCACTGTCTACCAAGGAAATTCATCAGAAAACAAGGCCGCTGACGTACCATATGAGCATATTTAAGAAAAACAAACTTTTGTGATTGTCACTTAATGAGCACTTGTTAATTACCAGGTAATCGACTATCGTGCTAAGAGACATATAGGAGCTGGTCTCAGTTTATGAGCTGACGCCACTGCGGACTTCTGTGGGTCAGGCAGTGTGTAGGTGCTTCACCTCTTCAGAACAAGCCTGAGATTAACATAAATGTTTAGGCATTAACAAAGTTGGGGTTAACTTACAATTGATCTTCTTCACAGATTTTCCTGACAATTTCATCAATCATGAGTTTTTCTTTCAATAACTGCTCATAAGCTTCCTGCTTTTTCTTCTCTTGTTCTTCAAGTTGTTTCTCTAAGTCAAGACTGTACTGTGTTTTCACTTTATTTCGTCTGTCTTCTGCAGCACTCTCTTCCTTCATTATTCTCTCGTGCTCTTCCTTCATGGTTCGGGCTATTTCAGCATCACGTTTCTGTTATTAAAACAAAATTCATCTTTCCATTTTCAAGTCTGAGCAGAGTGTGATAGAATATTTTAAAGAGATGTAACTGAGTATCTTAAAGCCTGTCACATAAAATATTTTCATCTGTGTAAGTTAAAAGCAAAGGTAAGTCACTGTCACCTAAAGGGTTTGAATGACGAGCCACACTGTGAAGAGGCCTTCCTGTTCCTCCAGGTAGCTCTCTCAGGGCAGCGTACAATAGGGATAGTTAGTAACTCTGCATTTGAAAAGTGGTCAGGTGAGAAGTGCTCTATTCATAACTTTACTATGCTAACTGCCAAAGCAGTAGTCATCTTTCTGTTTTGTATTTAGTAGTGGCAATTTTCACAACTTAACTTTATTATGTATGTGGATTAAAAAAGAGTTTTATGGAGAGTAATTTCACAGGATGATCTGTCTATAGATTCCTAACTGGGCAGGTCACAGTAGGTAGTCATGCCCTGGGCATACGGCTTATCTTTGTAAAAGATAAAGTAAAAGGCTTATCTTTGCCTTAAGCAAGCCCTGTACACCATTACTGTGCCTCTAGGTTAACATACCTTTGAAATGAAGTACTACAAGCTCTCAACAGGGCACATACTCTCATTAACTACCCTGTAATCCACTCCCCACTTTGCTGTCTCCCACCTCCATGTGCCCTTCCTTATAGTCCCTCCTTAATTTCAAATGCATAAAAGAAGCTGCAAAAACTATTCTCTGGAGCATTTGAGTTTTGCTCCTCAGCATAATCAGTTTGTCTCAAATAAACTCTTAAAAAAATTCTCTACAGGTTTGAACGTTTCTTACATTGACATGTATCAGCCACTATTTAGAGTAAGGATGGTGCAGGCACCCCTTGGAGACACTGCGGGTTTAGTTCTGGCACCACAACAAAGCGAGTATCACCATAAAGCAAGTTGTAATTGTTTTTGCCCGTGGACAATCTTGCCTCCAATTTGTAAGAAATGCATGAGGGAGCGAAGTGTAATAAAATGAGGTATGTCTGTCTGCCTGTACTGTCTTTTCCATACGGGTCTGCTGTTTACAGCTCTGAGTGAGGCTTAAGTCACTCTCAGCCTAAACTTTCTTTCCCGCCACTGGCCTTTTAAGTCTCCCCTTTTCTCATTTATTAAAGGCCCTTTGTATTCGTTTTAACTTAAAAGTGTTACATATGTCACTGTGTCTGTTTTCTGCAGCTTTTACTTCACTCATTCTCTAACTCATACTTCTGAGTTAAAGATAGTATTGCTTCTGGAATAGGTTCAACCCCTTATTTGTTTTGAGCATTTTTAAATCATTTAACAAAATAAATTTTAAATTAAATATATATCGGGGCAATTTAAAAAATTGCCCCTTACTATTGTGATCACAGCCCAAATGTTCTGATGGCAGAATGGTTGGCAGCATCAAATATAAAAGGAGAGAGAGATCAAAATGTGAATGCTGCTAAATGCCATTCCTGATCTAACTGATGCCTTTAACACTACACTGTTAATATTACTTAATCAAAATTCTTTCTTGGCTTCTGTTCTTAGCACATGTTGTACTAGGTTCTTTAGAAAAATATAAAATGATAAAAATAAAAATATTACATTCTACCATACACTTATATAAAGACAGTGTTCTCCTTCGCAGTTAAGAAAAGTAAACCTTAGAAAGACTGAACCAAAACTAGCACCTAGATATTCTGACACCTGGTCAAGTCCTAGGAGTATCTGACTTTAAAGTTTGTGGGTCAGTTTTATTAAGAAAATAGCAATTGTCTCATGAATCAGACAAAATGCCTACAATTGCTTTGAATAACCTCAATTACCAAGGTAATTAAAGCTGTAAACTACTGGTCAAACAGTATATTGTTTATATTCTACTTTATTTTTCAAAAGGTAGAACACACCTCTATGGCTTAGGAAATGAAATCCCGCTCTCGCCTGCCATCGGTGCTAACAGCATGCTACACGACCCCAGGCTTTTCTGTACGAGCACGCGTGCACGTGCCCGGGCGTGCGTGTCACCGTGGGCAGCCTCTATTCTTATTTGATACCTACGTTGTGCTGCACCAGCTGAATATTTTGATATCGCCTCTACCTGTATGCGTGTATGAGTACATGTGTGTATCACTATATACAACGCATACCATATTCTGCTGTGTATAATGCGTACCCACGTTTTTTGGTGCGCATTATACACTGATTATTATACCCATTATTAATTGTCTGCCTCTCACACACCCCCAACTGGGGACCCAGCCCGCAAGCCAGGCATGTGCCCTGACCAGGAACTGAACCAGCAACCATTCAGTCCATGGGCCTGCACTGAATCCAAGGAGCCACACCAGCCAAGGCTATTACACCCATTATTATACCCATGGTATGTAATCATACCCATGTATAATGTGCATCCTTATTTTTCCCTAAAAAATTTGGGCAAAAAATGTACATTAGACATGGCAAGGTACAGTATGTGTGAATATATATACATATGTTGATAGCCACATACATATATGTGCAGGTTTTTTAAGTAAAAATGGTCTGTGATATGTATTATTCTCCAACTTGATTTTTTTGCAACATCTTTTCCATTCAATCTAAAATATATATGGTCCAAGATAAAAGCCAGAACATTTACCTCTACCCCCTCCTCTTTAACAGCTGTGTAATATCTTGTGAAAGGGATCCAGGAGAGAGGGGACTCTGCCACCTCTCTATTTCACATAATAGAGCGACAAGAAAAGGGGAACGTAAGGCTGTGTCACAACGAGTCAGACCTTTTCATCTGTATCTAGCCTTTGTTTGTGACAATGAGTGCGCACGTTATGACTTGCACCTGCTTTTAAGTGTTAACTCAATAAAGCCTGTTTTATATTGGTGAGTGTGCCTGAAACTCCTTTGCCCAAGAGTAACTCCTGCCCTGAACTTGGCAGTTTGTCAGGAGTTAGAAAAAGGGATAGAGGGAAACAAATAGAAAATGCTATTTATAAAACAGAAGAGTTTGCATAAAATTATAAAATAGTTTATTTTTTAGGACTTTAGAAAATAAAAAAATAATAATATTTAATATATTAATCATGCTAACAACTTGCACTGTATTAGTTTGTCAAAGGATAATTGGTTAGAGACCAAAAAGAATGCTGGGAGTTACTGAATAAAGCCATTCATTCTAAACAGCTGCCTAGTCCTTTGTGTCTCTGAAAGGCTCTAATATTATATTAAACAAGGCTCGAAATTAAATAATCCATGATTCCCTATACCTTAAGGATCTGAAAAGCATGAAGTATTTGAGAAATCTAGCACTGTAAATTCCTTATAGTATGTAACAATTTTTTTAAAAATTGGTCTATTTTTGGTTTTTTAAATGAACCTAACAACACAGAAAGCACAATGAGCAGAAACATGATTACCATTTGTTCATATTTAATGGCATCCTTTTCAGCAATCTGAGCTGCCCTTTCTTTATTCATGTAGGCTGCTTTTAATTTCTTCTCCAGTTCTCTGAGCTCAATACTGTTTAAAAAGAAAAGACATTTAAATTTGAGGACCACTACTGTAAAAATAATCTATATCTGAAATTAAAAGAATTTTTTTCTAAATGTGTAAAACAAATTTACATTATTTAAATATTTTGAAAAAGTACCCCTTTTCCCCTTCATCCAAAGTAACATCAGAATGTAAAATGGGACACTGTAATTTTCTAAACAAAACAATCCTTTTACTTTCAATAACCATTACTAAAAATCTTTTTGCCAGTGCCTGGCTCAGACAAAGTGCTTTGTCAATATTGGTTAAAATTTCTGTCCAGCTACTAATATTATCAAACTAAAAGAACCATATAGTAAGGGGATTTAAACCTAAGCAAGTTACTTATATTTTGTTCCTTGGTTTTGCTGTATGTAAAAGGAATTTTGCTTTTACTTTGCTATATGTGAGAATTAAATTACTTAATGTGTATAAAGAGCTTAGAAAAGGACCTGTTACACAGTAAACACTCTATAACTGGTGATTATTTTTGGATAATGAAGATGAAGAGGTATGACCACGGAGAAAGTTTGCTTCATTTCTCTGGGCTTGTTTTCTTATCTGCTAAAAAATGAGAATTGGGACTTCTGGCCATGATGGAGGCATAGGCAGACACATTGCCTCGAGCAAGCAAAATAATGACCACAAATATTTAGAAATAAAGAAACAACCAGTACTGACATGAAACTGAACTGTACGGAAGTCCAACAACCAAGGAGTTAAAGTAGACACATTCATCCAGACTGGTAGGAGGGGCAGAGTCAGGCAGTAAGCAGAGAGGGGTCGTGGCAAAAAAAGCAGTGGTTGGTGGACCCTGGTCCACCAGGGGTTGGTGGGTCCTGGTGGGTGTGCAAGGCAGCAGCTGGTGGACGCAGCGAGGTGGCAGGATTGTGGAGGGGCACAGTGCCATAAGGCAGCTGACAAACTGGGTGGTCCCACATTTGCACACAGATAAACCAGGTGAAACTGGGGCGCAAGACAGTGCAACCCAGGGCTCCAAAGCAGGGGAAATAAAGCCTCAAAACACCAACTGAAATCACCTGTGGGGGTTGAGGTGTTGGGAGAGATTCCCAGCCTCACCAGAGAGCTCGGAGAGAGCAACGGGGTCCTAGTACATGCACAAGCCCACCCACCCGGGAATCAGCACCAGAAGGGCCCAATTTTCTTGGGGGAAGGGGCGGAAGGGATGATTGAAATCCAGCAGAGAGTGGAGCAAGTGCAATTGTTCCCTCTAAGACCCCTCCCCCACACACAGCATCACAGTACAGTTATGTGGGTTGACCCACCTGGGTGGACACCTAAGGCTCTGCCCCTTACTAAATAACAGGTATCCCCAGACAAAAAAGAAATGGCCAAAATGAAAGAACAGATCAAAGCTCCAGAAAAAATACAACTAAGCGACCGAGAGATAGCCAATCTATCAGATGCACAGTTCAAATTACTGGCGATCAAGATGCTCACAGAATTGGTTGAATTTGGTTGCAAATTAGATGAAAAAATGAAGACTATGTTAAGTGAAATAAAGGAAAATGTACAGGGAACCAAATGTACATGTGGGAAGGAAACTGGGACTCAAATCAATGGAGTGGACCAGAAGGAAGAAAGAAACCACCAAACAGAAAAGAATGAAGAAACAAGAATTCAGAAAAATGAGGAGAGGCTTAGGAACCTCCAAGACATCTTTAAATGTTCCAATATCCAAATTATAGGGGTACCAGAAGGAGAAGAGGAACAGCCACAAGTGGAAAACTTATTTGAACAAATAATAAAGGAGAACTTCCCCAATCTGGCAAAGAAAATATACTTCCAGGAAGTCCAGGAAGCTCAGAGAGTCCCAAAGAACTTGGGACCCAAGAAGGAACCACCAAGGCATATCATAATTACATTAGCCAAGATTAAGAGAATCCTAGAAGAAGCAAGAGATAAGGGGACAGTCAACTACAAAGGAGTTCCCATCAGACTGTCAGCTGATTTCTCAAAAGAGACCTTACAGGCAAGAAGGGGCTGGAAAGAAGTATTCCAAGTCATGAAAGGCAAGGATCTACACCCAAGATTGCTCTATCCAGCAAAGCTTTCATTTAAAATGGAAGAGCAGATAAAGTGCTTCCCAGATAAGGTCAAGTTAAAGGAGTTCATCACCAAGCCCTTATTTTATGAAATGTTAAAGGGACTTATCTAAGAAAAAGATAAAAAATATGAACAGTATCTAAGAAGATAAAAAATATGAACAGTAAAATGACGACAAACTCACAACTACTAACCACCACACCTAAAACAACAAAAAAACCAAAGCAAACAACAGAACAGGAACAGAACCACAGAAATACAGATCACATAGAGAGTTAGCAACAGGGGAATGGGGGGGCGGGAAAGGTAGAGAGAATAAGCAGCATAGATGGTAGGTAGAAAATAGACAGGGGAGGGTAAGAATAGATTGGGAATGTAGAAGCCAAAGAACTTATAAGTATGACACATGGACATGAACTAAAGGGGGGAATGTGGGTAGGAGAGGGTGTGTAGGGTGGAGGGGAGTAAAGGGGGGAAAATGGGACAACTGTAGTCGCATAATCAATAAAATATATCTTAAAAAATGAGAATTGGCCTCAAGTAATCTCTGAATTTTTTTTGAATCCATCACTCTCCTAACCTCAGTGAAAACAATATGCCATACAAAACTTTTCATTTTAATGTGCCAGTCATAATTCTGAATATGATAGAATATGAAAATTCTGAGCTAGAAGGGTCCTTAGATGCCAGCTAGATGTACATCTCAATTCTGACAGAAACTCAGAGGCAATGGCCTAATTACAAACTCAACTCACAAGTACCCCAAACCCACAAAGAGATAATCAAAGGGGTAAGGGAAGAAAAACACTCCTGGTGTTATGGTGTGTCCTTCTTGCCCTTACAGCTGTAGGTGTAAATGTATACAACAAAATGTATACAACATCAGACTGACTCCTTTCATAAAAATATTATACATGAGGATTAAGGTTCTAGGTAAATCTACATACTTTACTATGAGGTTGACATACATTTATATCAGGATGGTTTAAAAAAAATTTTTGGAGTTGAGTTCCGATTGTGAACCAACATATAAACCCAATTACAATTTATAATTGCCTCTACAAAAAATGTACATCAAATTCCAAACAGACAATGTGCAAATAAGTGACCTTCATTTGAAGGTCAAGTTCACATATTTCCACTGGAAATATGATGTCTGTCCAGAAAGTACCCAGCCATGTAATATGAAAAATAGAGACATTTATTGAAGATACAAGATACAGGAAACATTGTACATAGGAGAACAGTACCTCAGTCTCCTTCAAAGTAGGCACCTTGGGACCTACTTTGATTAGTGATTAGTAGGCACAGTTCTACCAATCACTGTCCGCTGCCTTGTATTTTCCTGAATCTCATCAATAGTCTGAAATCTCTTCCCTTTCAAGGGTGATTTTAGTTTGGGGAAAAGCCAGAAGTTGCAGGGTGCCAAATCTGGGCTAAAGTGAGGCTGAGTCACCTGGGTGATTTAATGTTTTGCCAAAAAATTCTGCACAAGGTGTGATGCATGAGCAGGTGTGTTTTTGTGATGAAGCTGCCAATTATCAGTTTCCCATAGCCCTGGCCTTCTGAATCATCTAAATAGTTTCTGTGGAGGAATGGTCAAGCTTAACCCAAAATCTGATGCAGATTCATCACTCTGCTTGCTCAGTCATTTTGAATGTGATGGTCATACAATACACATACTCACTCAACAGTACCACCCCCCACTGACTAGTACAGTGAAGTTGTCACTGTTCACATATGCACAGTCCAGTCTACTCTCCTTGGCTGCCAGTTACATCAATGTCATGGAAACTGTTCTTGTTATATTAACAATGGTTGGACTTTCTAGACAGAGCTTGTATAACTAGAAAGTGAAATTTCTCAGTCAGAGGGTAGACTATGTTCAAACTTAGTAGATGCTGCTTTCCCAGTGATTTGTACAGTATTACACTCTCATTAACAATACCATAGCACTATTTACCCACTCTCATGGGTACTTCATACATCATTGGGATTTTAAGTTATGTTTCCCTATTACTAATGGAACTGAGACATTTTCATATGTTGTAACTTATATACTTCTGTGAAATTCTTGTTCAATATTTTTTGTCCATTTTAACACTGGATTATCTACTTCTTACCCTTGTATAAAAGTTCCTTATATATTATGAATACAAGTCTCTTGTTGGTTATATACATTGCAAATATCTCTTTCCAGTCTGTGGTTACTCTCATAGTTGTTTCTTTAGATGAAGAGATGTATCCTAATTCATCAATATTTTTCTTCATTGTCAATGACTTTTACATCACATTTTAGGAGATACTGCCAACCCCATAAAGATATTATATTGGTCTCTCAGAGTTTTGCTTCACCACTTTTAGACTACAATTTTTCAGGAATTAACTTTTGTGTGTGGCATAAGGGAGAAACAAGTGCATTTTCTTCCATGTGGATATGTAATTGATGCAGCACCATTTTCTTAAAATGTCTATTTCATCTAATGCTCTGCAATGTCCGTTTCATCATAGTTAGTGTGCATCATCAATGCATGTATCTGTTTTTGGATTTTCTATCCCATCCTTCCTCAACTGCCTCACAGAAAATTAAGTGATTTGTATTTTTAATTTAGAGACAGTATATAGCTGATATTATTTTAGGTCGGAGGTGAGCTAATTCATTGCATATATAGTAGTATCTCAGTACTCACCATTAATTTGTTCCAGAACTCATGATGAGTACTGAAATCGACAAGCACTGAGCAAGCAACAGGTGATGAAGCACGTTGTCTCGGGAGGCAGTGTTGTGACTCATACAAGTTCTAGTGAGTGTCATGAGTCTGAAGCAAGCACCGAGTGCTGTAGCATTTTTTTTTTCATCAAAATGCAGTGAGTACAGGGTTTAGCAAGTTCTGAAGCTGATGAGTCCAAGGTATGACTGT